GTGCCGGGGCTGCCCATGCGCGGCCGTGCCCAGCGCCGCCCGCCGGGCCGTGGCTGCACAGCCACTGCAAACAAAGCTCCTTGCGGTGCGCTCTCGCCGCCCGCAGCTGCTTTGTTGCTGAATAATTCCAATTTCCCTGCGGACAATTTGCTGCAAGAACTCCAGAACGACGTCATTTAAAATATACGCCGATTTGGAGAGTGACTTAAATATTTGTTGACTTTTTTCTACTTTGCTTACTCATTTTTTTCCTTTCAACCTGTCATTTTTCCCCCTCGATACCACCTTTCTTTGCTTCAGTGCTTCCCTTCTTTCCAGTTACTTTAGTGTTCATTCTCTTTAAAGGAATCAATAGAAATTTGAACGAGATATTTGAAAAATATCTCAAGTGCTTCCTTTAAATTTAAGGCCTATCTGCTTGCACAATTTAGAAAGAATTTTTAATTAAATATTAAATACTTGGAACTAATCTAATCAAATGGCCTCAATGTTCACTCATGGATAATCAGTGTGCCTAATTCCTAGCAAACATTTCTAATTTTTTTTCACTACAGCATGGGATTTCCAATCTTCTCTCATGTAAATGTTTACCAGAACACTTTATGTGGTTTTTTTTAAGGTGTTTTGATTTATGTTGGTAATTGGTAGGTCAGCTGATACTCTGACATGCTAATTGCCCTTTTTGGTTTTCATTTTTTTAATTCTTCCAACACTTCAATTTATTTCTAATGTGTACCATCAAAGCTAATAATTCCCTTTGTGGGGCTGAATCTTCCAATCACATTATTTAATAAAGTAGCCCTAAAGCTCAACTCCAGTTTAACGTTCTTAAAAATTCTCTGTCTAATGTTCAAAGTCCATCTAAGAGAACATAATACTAAAGTGAGATCCAGAATTTGTTTAAAAAGCATGATTATACTGGCTGATAACACATTAAGTTTCTTGCCCCTCACTCCCTCAGCTATGGCTTTAAAATAGGTCAGGAATAATTTTAATTGTAGTAGCAAACTTTTGCTGGTAGTCAGGCTTCTATCATAGAAACTGACTTGCTGTCACACCCTTATGTGCACTGAAAACCCCTTTTACTTTCAGAAAAACTCCATGTCTTTGCTTCTATTCTACAAAAAAGTAAGTATTTGGTCATCTTTCTCAGACTTTCATATACACTATTTGAAAAGTCTGCCAAGTGCAGCTAAGTATTTGAAGCATTTTGTTGGCTGTTCCTGTATCTCTCTTATCCAGATTAGTCCATCATAAATTTAGGAACCTACAGATCAGATCCTTGATAAACTGTGCATTAGTCGATCTTAAATTCACCCATTTCCCACACTACCAATATACAAACCCTTGAACAACTGAGGAAGTAATAATACCCCTGAATAACTGAGGCACTCAGCCATGTCCCCACTCAGAGCTGAGGGGTTTGGACACTCAGGCTGTGATCATCCAGCCCCAGCACTGCAATGGTATCCACATTCCAGAGGGTGGCAGCTCAATGTTTGCCTGTCTTAGGGTTTTGTGTTTGTTTTCATCAGGCCTTTCCTGCCCCAGGAACATTTAGGCCAAGTTAAATGTGAACCAGTATCTATTCCTTCACTTTGTCAGCTCAACTGTTAAAGCTGCCAAGTGCCTACTGTTTAGTACTGCAAAGAAACCTGTGACCTTTCCTTGCTCTTTTACAAAGGTCAGCACTTCTTAATATCTTAGATAGAACATTCCAGCAAAATTAAGCCTTCCTTGAAATAACAAGGAACAACACTTGCTTAGGATCACTCTTTTTTTAAATGATAGGAAAAAAATTAAGACTCCACCAATGCAGTATGCAGCAAAGATAAATAAAACAGGAGCATGATTAGAACACAAGGTGTGCAGGGTCAGCGTGAGGTTCCCCAGCAATTATACACAGCAATTGTAAAGTACATACCTCTGTCTGTCATCTTCAGGTGACTTACTCTGTACTGAAATTGGCTGAGATAGTATCTTCTGTTGGCCTTTCTTCATTAAAAAAAGAAAAAAATGTTGATTTTGGGAGAATGTAATCCATTAAAGATGAACTACATATTTGTAAATCACAAATCACAGTAACTACAGTCTACTATGGAAAAGAATGAAAACTTAGTCTGCTGTGGAAAAGAACTTCTGAAACACAGGAAAAGATGTCTAAAAATGAAAATGCAATTGCTGTTTTGTTGTTAAATGTATATCTGTGCAATCTGGCAGTGCCATGTGGTATATTAAGTACCCTAAGAATATTTCATCTTCTGCTATATTTAGAGAAGAAAAAAACAGTGGTTTTGTTGTTGCTGTTTTCTAAAGGAAAGAGACTAGATGCTATTTTGGCGTTTCATCTGCTCCTGTTCAAATGCCAAGCATTTAGCCTCAGCTTGTCACTGCTCTAGAGAAGAATATGTTTTCACGGCCCATAAAATTGAAAATTCAACAGTAGGAAAAGTGTATGCAAGTACAGCTTTCCAGAATGCTTAGTAATTTGCTTTTTAAGCCTTATTTGAATGAGTGTACTTACAATGAATATTTCTAATATGCAGAACACCTTCTCCAAACTGTTTTGGGTATAAACCATACCTGCCCTGCTCCCTTTTTATTTATTTGTCCAACTTTCTTATAAAGTCCTGACTCTATCTGGAACACAGGCACAGCAGTGTTAAACGATAATACTGATAATAAACAGCAACTTTTTCTATTTTTAGAAAGTTTCCTTCTTAGTAAGTTCATGTTTTCTGTTTATGTTGCTTATTCTTTGTATCTTTTTCAGCTTGAACAATGTAGATCCTACTTCACTAGGTTACTGTAACAGTATCTGGCTTTCAAATACTAATATTTAGTATTTAAGGCATAAAACCACCTACAGATACTTTTCTTAAACAACAAAACAAGTTTTTAATATGGTTTTATGTATGTATTGGCACAAATGCTGTAGGCAGGTGTGTGAATACTTACCTGATGAAATTAAATAGAAACTATTTTTGAATGTATTTTTAGTACACGTTTACAACTTTGAAAAGAAAGAAATTAAATCTTACCTTGCATTTGAAAGCAACATGCTTCTAGTAGTCAGGGTCTAAATTTCTTTTGAAGCTCAACCCTGTGTGCATGTGAATCCAGACTAAACTACATAACAGTCTGCCTAACCTACTCACCATCAGTTCTTCAGCCTGACGCACCAGTTTTTCTGTTTTGGCTTCTAATTCTGCATTCAGTCGCCTAGAAGAGTAAGAACTTTTTGTCACTGAGTTCTTTAAAGATTTAAAAGGAATAAATGTGAGCGTGACAGTGTTTTTGCCTGGAGTGAGTGAAATTGTAATGATTCCTACAAAGGAATGCTGAAATACACGTCAAGGTACTAAAAAAGTTATGTTTCAACAATTGCCTGTGTTTCAGCCAAATTAATAGTAATAAAACACGTAAACCTATTAAACAGCAAGGTTTCGACTATAACTGTGAGAGACAAAGGATGTGTTTGGTTTTGGACATACCATTTCTTAATACACATTGTATGTCTTTATTTCCTAAAGGTTTTCCATGTTTAACACAATCCTTCATTTCAGGATATCCAGCAGCAGGGGTTGGGGAAGGACTCATGTGTGCCTACATTGCTTATCACGTATTTGAAGATGTGTTGCTGTCTGGGTACGGCAGTGAGGTGTTCTGCACGTTCACATACAGCCCCTGTGCTGTGATTGCCGCTTTGAGACCTGGCTCTGTGCGTGCCCTCACCATTCACAGGGGCTGGGCACTAACAGCTAACAGAGACAGGGCATCCATTTAAAACCTTTACAGCTTTTAAGCTGTTTTTAACAGGCTTAAGCTTTTACATAGTCGTAATTTAGAACTAAAGTCAGTGTTCGAAGTGTAGAAGAAGCTTACGTCCGGGCCTAGAGCCCGGCTGAGGCGGCGGTGTCCCGCAGCGCTGGGCGCTGTCCCGCGGCCCCGGGCGGTGCCATCCGCCCTCTGCGGGGCCGGAGCCGCGGCACCGGGAACAGGGGAGCGGCTGAGCGCTGCTCCGAGCGGGGCAGGGCCTCCTTACTTGTACTGCTCTTCCTTGGCCAGCCATGCTCCGCTCAGCGCGCCGGGCCCCGCCAGCGCCTGGGGGCTGCCGGCCGCTCTCCGCACCTGCGGGAGGATGCCAGAGTGAGCGGGGCGGGCTCGGCACGGCGCCGCCGCCCCGACTCCGAGCCCGGCCCGAGCCGCCGCCTTACCCCGGGCACGTCCCCGCCCCGCCGGGCCGCGCCGACCGCCGACATTTTGTCCGCGCCGAGGCCGCTGTGGCGTCGCCTTCGCCCGGGCAACCGGCGGCCGCCCGCCCTCGCTGCTTCCTCCCTCCTTCCTCTCTCCTCCCCTCCGCCCGTGTCAGGGCCGCAGCGACAGCCGCGGGGACAGGGAGCGGCTGGCACCCGGCATGGCGCTGGGCTGCTACGGCTTCAGGTGAGGGGCAGCTGAAAAGAGCTGAGAGGCCATTAACATTATTAGTGTAATAAATATTTATTACTGCCCTTCTGGCCCTGCTACGCGCTGTCCTGCCAGCGTCCCCTCGTTTCAATGCATTAAACTCCCGTTTGCGGCGTGACGGCCACTGTGCCACCCTCAGTACAGCGCTTTGGTGCTGTCGTCCCCTCTGCATTTCCTATACACACAGCTCTGTGATTGTCGCCTGGTTTTAGCCTTGTCCTCCACCACTTGTTTGAATCCCTCCATGACTTTTGTCCCTCACCCACACACAGTTGGATTTTGCTGCTTTTTTCCTTCCGGTCACCCATGAGCCTGTTCCACTCTCATCTGGGGACACAGAATGGGTCCGGTTGGAAGGAACCACAGTGGGTCCATCTGCTCCAGCCTCCCAGCTCCATCAGGGTCATCCCTGAGCACATGGCACAGACGGTTCTGCAGTACCTCCAGTCAGGGGGACTCCACAGCCTCCGTGGGCGGCCTGTTCCAGTGCGTGCTCACTGCACAGAAAAGAAGTTCTTCCTCAGTTCAGCTGGAACTTTCTGTGCCACAATTTCTGCCCCTTGCCTCGTGTCCCATTGCTCAGCACCACCAAGGTTGTGGCTTACCTGCTCGTTCACTCCCATCTCCTTTCCCAACTTCCCAGCTGACTGTGCCGCTGCAGGTGACAACAGCCCAGCCAGGTGCGCCAGGTACCTACAGAGAGAATAACGCGCTTCTCTACTGAGTTACGTGGGCTGTAGATGATTGTAATTAAGAGATTTGCACAAAGGAAATCAGAAGGGATTAGCTGGCTGGAAGTAGAAGGTCTGTCCTGAAGGATTTCTGCAGAAGTGTTACTTGTGAGACAGAAGAAATACTTGAAGATTTTGAGCATTGAGACCGGCAATGTAATGGGATAAATAAAGCGAAATGAAAGACAGGACAAATTTGATTTGTGGAAGGCAGGCAAAAAATAGAAGTATTAATATATAGAAAATGAAAGTGTTTAGCACTAATGTTGAATCAAAAGTATTGACACACACAGGGAGAAGAGTGAGCCTATACAAAACGTTATGGGGACTTTGAAAAAATCCATTAAGAAGTCATTTCCGTAATTTTTGTGGTTTTATAATGAGACTAGCAAGGGGTTAATGGTGGCATTTAAAAAAAAAACAACAACAAGCACCACCCCCCCCCACCCCCCCCCGATTTTAACTCCGTCATTTGTGGTTTTGGTTTGGAAGCACATTGTACAGTCACTCTAAGACAGTGAGGTCAATAGTAGAGATCTAGCATCCATGGGGAAAAGGCAGATTTTGTTAAGAAATAAACTGTAGATTCTATGAGACATTAACACATCATAACCAAAGTCACTTTTTAGAAATATCTCTGGTGACATCTTGGGGGATTTTAAGAGAAACAGTGGAACTAGGGAAGGAAACAAAGGTTAGCAGGATGAAAGCCAAGAGAAAAAATATGCTCTTTCCAAATGAACTTGTTTTCCTCAAAAGTAGTTTGTTTTTGCAGAAGTAAAATTTTGTTAATATTTTAATAATACTTTAATAATATCATTAATTATAATATAATATTATATTTAATAATATTATTCGTATTAATCAACATTATTGTAATATTAAATATCTTTATATAATTATTATGTATTAATTACATTACTATTAATTATTAATAATATATTATATTGTTATATTAATATATTAATAGTATTGATATTTTTACTGGTTTTAAAGTTCTTGTACAAAATATCTATAAGAGCATAACATCTTAAAATGCCAAAAGTATTAGCTAGAAGATCTCTGCTAGTTAGACACTGAGGCAGCAAAATCACTGGTTGAGATTAGAGAGATTAGAGCAACTGGTTTTCTAACCAGCTTTTGGCTAAGACTTAATAAACAAAAGAGGGGTAATTTATTATATTATAAATTATTAAATATGTTAACAAACATCGCAACACAAGGTTCCTTTTGTTTAAAACTCCCTGGGATTTATAACATACATACATATTAGGATTGCAAATTTGCACAATATTTCTAAGATCCACAGCATGATTTATGTAATATGATTTATTTTAAAAAATATTATATCAACTGGATTTTGACTTCAACTGTCTATATTTGAAATAATATTACAAGATCAGTATATTTGGATAAGTATTTCATAGTGAACTTTAAAGTATTTCTCCAGAGATGTTGAAAACAAAATTAGAAAAAATAAGAGATTTTCTTGTATTCTTGATCCCTTACTCCATTAAGGTTTTATCACTTCAAAGTTGACCTGATGTGACCTTAACAGTTGTGGTTAATTCTCTAATACATAGTTGGTAACTGGGTAGAGAATAGGCTTATATTAGAGAACCCAACCAATAGTGAGATACATCAGGAGATAGGAAAATTTATCTCAGTATTTATGTCAGTATTTTTCTGGGGGGAAAATAAAAGGCATTTGAAAGCATAATATTGATATATAGTATAAGACTTAGCCAACAATATTTGTTAGCAAATCCCCATTTTCCATTTAATCGTTTTTTAAGGGTTGACTCAAACATAGTTAATGTAAAATGAAAATGTTTTTGTCATTTTTAGGTGAAGTGTACAGCAGGTTAGAGACAGGCTTTAACCAGAGTAATATTTGTGGTCATAATGAACAGTACTTGGGACCTGTTTCTAGGGACCTCCATGATTAGAGTAGTACATCATCGCTGTATATTTTTCAAGTTTTTCAATTTTTGTTTTCTGAGGACTATAAGATTGCAGAATTAAATTACTCCAGCAGAAATGTTAAATTCAAAATGAAGTTGTTCACTGTGTTGCCTTTGGTTTTCTTCCAGCAAAGGAGGAGATGGGTCAGAGAACAGAAGAGAACAGCAGAGCTGTTAGGAGTGTTTGGGACAGAAGGGTGTGTGTAGCTGCTGGGATGTTACAACACTTTACTGCAGAGCACTGCTGAGGATTGATAGACAGTGTTTACTTTTGATTAAACAAAAGCACATGCATTTTTTAATTGTTACCAGTGGCCCTCTTCTTTCTACAGGCATAAATTTTGTGATCTCTCTTTCTTCCTTCAATAAAAATATAAAAGCATTAGATTTTTTTTATGAGCCTACTATCTTCATGCTTTTAGACACAATTTTTGTTCATAATACCTTCTTATTTGTGTAAAGAGTCATCATACAGAATTTTTCTCTTTTCATAGAAGTTGTGATGTTTAGATCATTGCAAATGTATCAGGCCGAAGAGATAGCAGCTGATATGCTGGCTTAAGCTTTTTGTTTTTGTGGGTTTTTTTTATTTATAAGACTCATTGTAAACAAATAAATAGCACATATAGATGCCACAAATGCTTATTATTTTTAGACCAAGCATCATATTAAGGGCTATATATTGTCTTTGGTATGTGGTAGAGCTAAATTTGATTAACCTGCTGTTACTAAGGCCTCTCTTTTATACATCTGTTGATTCCACCTCTAGAAGAAAACGTCTTTCACAGGACTTGCTGTACCTCCATCCTAGGAAAGAGGGATGCTTCACCAAGGCAGTATGACTCAAAATGCTCCAAATGCAGCAAGTTTGTTTGTCCAGGACCCTTTTTCCTGCTTCCATTGCCGTGCTCTGGCTCAGGCAGGCGCAGAGGGATTGTTCCCCGCAGCACATTTCCCTGGTGCTCTCCCCGGAGAGTGCCCTGTCGGCAGCACGGCGCTGCAGGGCAGAGCGCTGTCCCCTCGCTGGGTTTGTTGTCACCGTGCTCCATTGCATCGCTGCCACGTCTCTGGTCGGTGACGCGAGCTGCTCCTCACAGCATCCTCTTCCGAGCACACAGAGAAACCCTGTGCAGGCTCAGCCCGGCCACAAGGAAGGAGAGCAGACACAGGCTGACTGCAGCACTCACACACCAAGGCAAATAATGTCAAGCTAGCAGGCAGTTGTTTGTTTACTTATTTATTCTGAAGGTGCCAGAGAAGATGTCAAACTTAAAGGCACATCACTGTAACCTAAGCAACTGTAACCATTACAGCCACTTCACACTTAAATAGTTTCCCTACCTTAAATTTCTCCTTCATTTTTCTAGTTCCAATTTCCTGGAGGGTGGAGAAGGAAGAGCAGAATTTTGTAATGAATTTTAAGTGGAATTTAATACTTAGCAAATTTCTGGAAACCTATATGGGTTAGTATTTTTGGTTTGTTTTGGTTGGGTTTTTTGGGGAGAGGTTGTTTGTTTTTTATTAGCTTTAAATACTCATCTTGTTTTTTTATTTTAAAAGATAAAATTGCTATTTCATATTTCTGTTGTGTAGATGGTATAATAGCTAATCTTGAATTCACCTAAAAATCAGACTAAAATACATTATTATTGTGCAATCATAGGAAAAAAAACCAAAACCACATTTGTGTACAGTATTTTCAGACATTAGTGGAATGGTAGGATCTAGACAATATGTAGCTATTAAATCAATAATCCAGACATTGAGGGAATTCCCCAGACAGCTGTTGGATATTTCCCCCTAATCAGTGATAATAATCCAATGGTGTTTGAAATGGCATGATTGTATATTGGAATGTATTTCTGTGCTGATATTTTCTCATGCATCTCTAATGGCTGCCCAAATATGAAGAGGACCAAGTATTATTCATAGCCATGGATCTACTGTGAAAAATCTTCTGTTTGAATATATGAAGTCTTGCAACTTCTTTAGCCCTTTCTGACAGACATCCTAAGATGCTTTAGCGCCACTCTACCCTAGTATCTTTTGTTTCCTGGCATATAACCCTGATGGATGTCAGTGGTGTGTGCCAAGTTTTGTGTGGCAGAAGTTGGAGAGGTGTGTGGGAACCAGGTACACAGACTTCGAGGGACAGCAGAGCTTGGGGATGGGCAGGCTGAGCTATTAAGTCTCCAGTGTCTCCAGTTTTGCTTTCATATAGATATCAGTTTGGTTTTTTTCCTCTTTCTAGTAGTTGTGTAGACATATACAATTCCTAGTTTCTAGGCTGGTCTAAGTTTTCTTTTATATATAGCTATAACCAGCATACTTGTGCCATCCAGATTCCTGTTTACAAATATAAACATTTTTCTTTGTTCTTCTCTGCTTCACTGCACTATTGGGGCTTACTTATTTCAGTGTCATCCTTCCTAACCTAATCCAAACAATAACCTTGGCTCAACAATTTAAACATATTGAATCCCCAACCAGAGTAGTTTTCCCTAGTAATACTCTGATTACAGCAGCTTTTATGTCTGAACAGGAAAGGACCTTAAACACTAAATCTCATCAGCACTGTAAAAAATAAGTGGTGAGCATCAGTCACATTTTCTTGAAATACCACAAGTCTTTCTTGAGGCCTAATCCTTTAATCTCTGGATTTTGGGCACTTCTGTTCTGATTACTAGGGATCAAAAGGTTTGGCAAATACTCTTCAGACCACTCTTCAAAGTGGCCACTGTAATATTACCAGATTGTTATGACAATTGTATGGTTTTTTTTTTTTTTGTTGTAGTGGTAGCTGGTATTTTTGGAAAAAACAGAAGTTAGTATATCAAAGCCATGGTCTACCACACTGAAAATTTTTTAAAAGCATGTGGTTCTCCAGTACAGAGGTTCAGAGGACTTGAGAACATGGCAATGTCAAAGTAAAGGAGAAATATCTTTCACTGATATGGAAATTTTTCCTACTGTGTAAGAGGCAACCTTTCTAATGAAGGGTGCCCTCAGAGGGCTGCTGCAGCATACACAAAGGCTTTTCTGAGCTTGTTCCCAAAGCTAGAGAGTGACCTTTCATTTCACTGCAAATGGAAATCTTATGCCATTTCCTACCTGAAATATTGTCATGTGTGAGGTTATATAGAAAAAAAGGAAAGAATTTTGCAAAATCGACTTCTTTAGACCCTCCCACCAGATAGTTTTGTTAAATGTTCATTGGTCTGCTCTGGAAGTACACAGTTTTTCCCTAAATGAGATAATTTCCTTGTCCTGTTTTAAAAAAAGGCTGCATATGTTGAAACAAATCAGTGACTCCTCCTCCACAAATTTCATTTTACTT